CACCGTGGTATAAATGAGTGTCATCTTGCCTTGTCTTGCCGTTATTACTGGCCAAAGATGCGAGATCAAATTACCAAAATTATCAATGATTGTACTATCTGTGGCCAAGCTAAGTACGATCGTAATCCCATCAAACCGCAATTTAACATCGTTCCTCCTGCTACTAAGCCGTTCGAAATTGTGCACATAGATTTGCTTTCTATACAAAATGAGAAATATTTAACTATTGTAGATGCGTTTTCCAAATACGCGCAGGCATACCATGTTCGCGATGCCACGGCAATCAGTATCGTTCAAGCACTGTTAAATTTTTGCACTCATCATGGGCTACCTCTAACAATAGTATCAGACAATGGCACAGAATTTACCAATCAGATATTTAATGACTTTACTAATTTATACCGGATTAACCATCACAGAATACTACCTCACTCCCCCAACGATAACGGCTTAGTAGAAAGGTTCCACGCGACGATTCTGGAACATCTCAGAATCCTAAAATTACGCAATAAAAGTGAGAATGCTATAAACCTTATGCCATACGCAATTTTAGCTTACAATAGCTCCGTACACAGCTTTACCAAATGCAGACCTTTTGATATTATAACTGGGCATTTCGACCCGCGAGACCCCTTTGACGTAGATATGACGAAACACTTAACGCAGCAATACGTACAGAATCATAAGGATCAGATGAAGTTAGTTTATGAAACGCTAGGGGAAATTAGCCTGGCTGACCGTACCAGCATCATAAATAACCGTAATAAAGATCGCGATCCTGAAATCGAATATCAGCCACATCAGCGTATTTTTGTGAAGAACCCTCTTGCGAGTCGTCAAAAGTTGGCCCCTAGGTATAGTCGTGACACAGTATTGGCAGACTTACCTATACATATATACACCTCACGAAAACGCGGGCCTGTTGCCAAAAATCGTCTTAAAAGAATACCCAAAAGTGCCAAATTGTTACAGGGTGCTACTGGTCCTGACTGCTCCTTCGATAGCATCCCACAGGATGAGTCAAGAGATAACACTTGAGAGCCTTGACGACGGCCCCGGACTTCTACCTTTTCGGCTTGGCGCAACAAGGCTCATTACGCACTATCATACTTTTATACAATTCGTAGAATTAGATGATATTAATGATAAAATCTCGCAGCTACAGAATCAACTAATATATTTTAGACAAACTCTAGGAAACGATACTTATATGCTTTATGAGGCTCAAATAGAATTCCTATTCATCAAACTTAGTAAGGTCTTAAACCAATTAGAAACCTTAAAACCCCATCGTATAAAGAGAGGCCTCGTAGACGGACTCGGTTCAATAATTAAGAGCGTTACTGGTAATTTAGATAATTCAGATGCCGTGAAGTATGACAATGCAATTAAAATCCTTCAGCAAAATAGTAACGTTATTTTTCATGAATTTAACAATCACGTAAGTGTTAGTAAAGAGTGGATGGTCCAGCATTCTAATGTGTTAGAAGAGTTAGTCGAGAATCAAGTAAAAATAAATGAAACGTTACAATTAATTTTAGATAGAAATAGTTATAAAGATTCTAGCCTACTAAAATATGCTAAATTTGCTCAGTACCTTGCTATTTTAACTGAAAATATTGACGAAATATTCAGTGAGCTAACTAGAATTGAAAATATCATAGCTTTTATTCACGCTTCAACTTTACATCATTCCATGATTAGTATAGATATTTTAAACCATATGATTCAACGCTTAATTACTATCTATGGTAAGGAGCATGTGTTGCAATTAGAACTTAGGGAATACTATGACATAATTAAACCAGGATACTATTACTCTGATAATAGGATAGTCATAATTTTTAATATACCGCTATTTACTAAGGATAGTTACAATCTCTATAAATTATCCATGGCCCCCAATAAGTTTAAGCAGGCCCTCGTCCCTCCTTTTCCTTTAATAGCAACCAACAGAAAAGGTTATGTGTATATAGAGGCTGAATGCCCGAAGTTTAAGGACTGGTACCTCTGTGGAGAGACAATGGACCATCAGCTACGACAAGTCCCAGACTGTATCCAGAATCTTTTAATAAATCAAGCCATCGACAAGACCTGCGACGTTGTTACAATAACCCTATCAAGACCAGCTATGGAAGAATTAGACGAGAAACATTATATCCTGTCTTTCCCCAATGCCACGAGGATACACTACCTATGTGGCAAAGAAAATTACAACATTCTCAGCGGCACCTACTTAGCAACCGTCCCTATGAGCTGCTCCTTGGACACACCCGACTTTACAATCACCAATATTAACGACGTAGTTGAAGGACAACCGCTGAAAATAATGAAGCTGACAACCGACATTGAGGAACCGCTCAAAGGAAATTCTCAGATTCATCTTAATTCCATTGACTTGCGAAGGCTGCATGACACTAAGCACAGGGTGATAACGCAGCCAACTCTGGAAATAAAGCAAGCGTCGCCGGACTACACAGTATATCATACAACGATTCCGCTTTATATCATTCTATTAAGCGCACTCGCACTCACCATGCTGCTACTTATAAGACGAGGTGAAATATTCCGACGCAGATCTGAAAGATCACCCCCCAAAGACAAGATCTACGCAATACCCGAGACATCTGAAAAGACCAAGCAGCATCCATCACTATTTTCTCAGAGAAGCCTTCAAAAATAAGTGATGATCTGAAGGGGGAGGTGTTATATCAAGCTCTCACTAGTAATTTGCAATAAGCGATGACCTCGATACAGCACCTGCTGACACCGCTCACGCGTGCCGCCACCGGACGCAACGTGATCACCGCCGCTGACACAGCACCCCGATTGACGTCAATGCGCGTTTACCGCGATGCAACATTTTTATTTTATAAAATTAATTTAAGTATTCTGTATCTAGCATCGATCAGGCATAGACTTAAGTTTAATTGTAAAATTAGTTTTCATTAAATTTACTTAAATAAATTTGGTTTTTTTTGGGTCCTTCGGCTGTGGTTACCATAATTCTCGTACTTTATTGAACAACAATTTATTATAAAGGATTACAAAGGGCTTTCCATATTTGAAAAATTAAAAGATTATAATTACCGAATGGTGGCGATGTAAGACTATGACGTGTCGTATGAAAATGTACATACATTAAGTAAGAAGTACAATATCAAATACATACACTAGTAATAGTGAGCAGTGTCAAAGATCTGAGACGGATATCCAATCTACCTGCGAAATGTCGTCATTAGGTACAACAATCTTGTTTCGATGGGACAAGCCGATAGGCCATTAGTGCACTGTTGAAGAAGAAGTAGAAAAAAATTAGGGTTTGGTGAAATTGAAACAGGAGATGGACAGTAACATCTTCTGGATAATATATATCAAAATAATAAAAAAATACGGCTGCCAACCGACCTGCCGAGATCAAGCGAAGCAACTATGGCAAATTATGAGTGTTATTGTCCTATGTTCAGCAGAAGAGTTTGACAAACTGTAATGGATTAAAATAAATGGTGAAATTAAAAATTTTGTGCAACTGACATCAAATCAAATTATTATAGTAAAGGATCCGGCTTAAAAGAAATACCCCTATTCTTTTCTTCTTTTTTTTCATTCTTTTCCTTGATGAAATATTTTTTTATATTTTTTTATAATATAATATATATTATATTATAAAAAAAATATTTCATGTATAAATAAATACAAATCGGGGTGATTGACAGCATATGTTTTGGCAAGGCTATTTTTAATAAAAAAATATTTAATTATTTTTTTACCGGTTACGGTCATTCTTTTGCTAGATAAAATTATTGTTAATCGAAAAAAAAATATATAAAAAATACCACAGCATGGTTGACTACCTTTTTCCATGCAACAATACCTGTCTAACAGGTATAAACAGGTAAACTTTTCTTTTTTTTTTGTTTTTCTAAAAAAAGTTACCCCCACACTAGGACTTAAAGATAAATTATTCTATAATAATAAAGGAAGATATTCTTGGATCGAAAATTATTCTAGTCTCTGGATCTGACCACGTTTTCAATTTATATGTTTTATATTTCTCAACGTGCTCTACTGCATCGAAGATTTATTAATGTATTGTGTTGAAAGTTTACAATTTAAAAAAAACAATAAAGAAGTGTTTTCATGTGGTGAAAAATAAAAAATTCGTGATTTTGATGAACAATTTTTTAAAAATTGGTATTTAAAAATTCAATTCCGTAAAGAAATGGCTTTATGTATTTTTTTTATAAGATAAGGGTGACAAACAAGCACACAGTCCACCTGATGGTAAGTGGTTGCTGCGGCCTATAGACATCTATATCTATCCTCTATTACAAATCAAAATGCAGATGCGTTGTTACCCGTGAGGACTAATATGGAATGTCTCATTTCCAGTAAAAAGGGTCTCCGGTTCTCTACACTAACCATACGAATCACAGCAGCGTTAAGCTGCTATTTTACGCTGGTATTCGGTGAGAGCGTAGTCCTTTCCCGGTCGAGCCGACCAATTCGTGCTACAACTATACTACTAATATAGCTGCAGCATGGCTCTACCACGTAAAATAATCTAAATAATAGTCTGTATTATCGTTGCTAAATGGTCATTTTCCCAATAATTTGTAAAGAGCTTAACCAAAGCCTCCTTGAAACGATAATTTTTCAGACTTCATTCATAGCATTCTAGCGTACGTATCTGATCCTTTACATGTGACATCGAATACGCGTAAAAAAAAAATAAACAAGAACTTGACTACGTATTTGCGCGTATTTCTGATTTCCTTGATAGCGTCGAATATTTAGAAGTTGTTTCAGAAGTCAGAAAATATTGTTTGAATGAGAAAATGACAAGAGGCATGAAAAATTTATAATGCATAGTATTTTAAACAAATTATAATGAAGTACTTTACCCAACATGTTTAAGGTTTATAACAATAAAACTTAAAACATATTGAAAAGAATCGGGTATTGATTGATATGCTATAAATAAATATATGTAATTCTAGGTTGAATCCTACAAAGCAGAAAATCAGCATTGGTTGGTGCAGCTGAATGAAACGCAACGTGAACATATGGATTTGCGTTCGCAATTAATGGAACAGAAAGCTTTGCACGTTAAACAGCTATCAGAAAAAGATGCACAGATAGAACAACTGCGATCTGTTGTGCATAACTTAAAAGTGAGAAACATTTTTATATAGTGACTTTTATTAGTGCAGTTTATCCTTAACGATTACGTACTGTATGTACCTACGTGTATAAAATTGGTAATAATTTCCAGACAGTTTACCAAACGAGCGGGCAACATTGCTAAAAATGAATAAGAAGTAATTTGTTACAATCCAAGTCTTTACGAATTCGAACAATGTTTAGAAATTTATATATTTAAAAACATCATGCTTATTTAATACCTTAAAATTACTAAACTGATATTATAAAGTATAATACGTTTTGTTGTAGATTAACATCATACAATGTGTTATTTGCCACAGATTTTCACTAAAATATTTTACTTAAAGTGTTTCTAAATAAGAGTAGTCTTAACATTGGTCACTTTCTTAGAAAATGGTATTGTCATCATTTGTTGCTAAAAGCTCTTAAATTATCATATTGCCTAACAATCTCATACTGTATTCAAAATATACAGATACTTACTGTCATTATTAATAAATAATCGATACTCATTACTTAAATTACCCAATTCCATTTGTATTCATATTCATATACCTGGCCGCTAGAAATAATTACCTCATTAATCACTTCATCTTCAAATTTCAGACGCAAATAATGAATATGCAGATGATATTATCAGTGAATGATCCTAGTTTCGACCTATCCGCAATCGTTGAAGTAGAAGAAGCAAGTGACGTCTCTCAGCAGGGTTCTGAGCGTTTGGAATTGAAGTTTGATTCCACGGTTGATTTGCATGAAATGCATGATGATTTTATGAGAATGCCTGCCACATCCACTACTATATGGTGAGTTTTATGCACAACTATAACTAACATTATTTTTTGAAAAAAAAAAACATTAAATAAAGTACACTTAACACTGTTTGTGCATTTGCTTTATTTACTTGTAAGAAATTTATTCATGAACTGTTTAGATCTGTCGCTTAAAAACCATTCTGAATATTTTTTTATATTTTAATTTATTTTTAATAGCCCGAAAAAATCTATTGCTAGACATGCCGAATTTTTAATTTTTTTATAGGATAAGGGTGACAAACGAGCACACAGTCCACCTGATCGTAAGTGGTTGCCGTGGCGCATAGACATCTGCATCTATCCTCCATTACGAATCAAAATGCAGATGCGTTGTCACACGTGAGGACTAAGATGGAATGTCTCTAGTTCTCTACACTCACCATACGAAACACAGCAGTGTTAAGCTGCTATTTTACGCTGATATTCTGTGAGAACGCGGTCCTTACTCGGTCGAGCCGACCCAGTCATGCTACAATTATACCAGCAATACAGCTGCAGTATGGCTCTACCACGTCTAATAATTCTATATGAGAGGCTTATTTCGAATTTGCCACACTTGGCGGTATTTTTGTGGCCTTTCCTATAATAACGAAATGAGGTAATGGATTCTTTTACAGTTAAACAATGATTCTAAATAAAACATAATAATTGAAAGTTATCTTCGTGCATTGCTTGCATTTTCCAAAGTTGACTTTTAAATCCTCAAGATAAGATTTATCTCAAACGCCGCGCCGCCACCGTTAACCAGCCAATTACTGGGTATAATATACTTTATATATACCACAAGGTTAATTACTTTAGGTTTAAAATTAAATTTGTAACCTAGATTAAGTTATTAACATAATAATAAAATGCTTACAAACTTAATAAAATTAGAACAAAACAACTATAATGGACAAGATATTAAGCAAAACTGATTTTATCGCATTTAATTTAACTTAGCCAAATGTTCAAGATTATCTCGCCATTACATCCGTAAAATTAGTTTTATTTAAAACATCTATGAGAAAGCATAAACACTTAAAAGCTTTGATTTAAAATCAGCTTTTAATTTATTAATAATTTTTAATAATTTAATTTTTTATTTCCAGGCAAGAACCCGTAATTGAACGTTTGCGCCGTGAAAAACAACTGCTCAGTAAACAAAACGGCATATTGCGCCGACAGATCAAGGCGATCGCTGCCAGGGAACGAAGAGCGCGCCTCGATGCTCAGAATCTTAAGAATCAAATATTTCGAATGTGAATATCAATACTTACATATATATATATATATACATTACCAAACTATGTATATGTTATGTATACACACTTATTGGGAATAACTTTTACCCACAGCTGTTAGAGGTGATGATTGATTTCATCATATCTTAATGGAAAATAGTTGTATATTCAACTATTTTGAATAAGATGTAATTAATTTTGTCATTGTTATAGCTTATATAATAATAACAATATTAACATATCTGTACTTGAAAATGAACGTGAAGCCTTACTTTAACATATTCTCATGACCGATTTTACACAAAAAAATATGTTGGTCTGATACAGGCATTGAAGTCTCTATATAGGGACTCTAGTGCTTGTGTCAGGATCAACGGGGCCTACTCGGACTGGTTTGGCATCTATAAAGGTGTCAGACAGGGCTGTGTGGCTTCCCCGTGGTTGTTCAACCTATTTATGGACAGTTGTTTGGAAAATTTGAAAGTAGAAAAATGCGGGTTAAGAATGGGTGAGTTAACCGTCAAATGCCTTTTATACGCCGATGATCAAGTCATACTTGCGTCGCCGAGTTGCAAATGATGGTTACATTAATGAACAGGACATTAAAAGAAAAGGGAATGAAAGTGAACGCGAGTAAGACGAAAGTTATGGTTTTTGAAAGAGAAGAAAGTAAAACGATATGTGAAATAAGAATTGAAGGGGAGTTGGTAGAGCAAGTAGATGAGTTTGTATATTTGGGATGTGTGTTTAGCAGGGATGGTAGATATGATAAGGATATAGAACGACGAGTGAATGCAGGAAATAGAGTGAATGGGGCTCTACACTCTATTGTGAAAAGTCAGAATGTGTCCAAAAAGACACGTATGGCAATTCACAATACTTTAATGTATGGTAGTGAAAGTTGGGTGTGGCAGAAGAAGCACGAGAGTAGAATAAATGCTGTAGAAATGCGGTCATTAAGGAGTATGTTAGGGATGAATCTGAATGACAGAGTGAGAAATTGTTTAATAAGAGAAGAGTGTGGTTTGCAAGATGATGTTGTGACCAGGATTAAGAAAGGAATGCTTCGGTGGTTTGGCCATGTAGAAAGAATGAATGAGGAAAGAGTGACAAAGCAAATTTATGTTGCAGAGGTGAACCGCATAGTCGGGAAGGGTCGCCCTAGGCGGAAGTTTATCGACCAAATTGGCGATATATTAAAAATGGGCCAAATCAAGAGTACCTTTAACCGACGAGCGTGTATGCGTAGGTATATGGATGTGGAGGAAGCGAGAGAGGTGTGTCAGGTTCGTGCCAAATGGAAGTCCATAATCTCTGCCTACCCCTCTGGGTGACAGGCGTGAGTGTTTTATGTATGTAAATATGCATTTTCCATAATTATGACGCTTACAGTAGCACATCTGGAAGCAAAGGAGTGACAGCGGAATCAGCAGCACTTCACAATAAAATTGCCTCTCTCCAGGCACAGCTGACGAATGCACGACGTGATACACATTCTTCCGTAGCGCTATGGGATAAATGGAAAAGGTATTTGTTTTAATTTACGAAGCATTATTTTCTGCTGACATTGTGATACTACAGTTTGTGTTTGTGTTTAGGCAAAATATGATTGTATACCTAATAATTATTTATTATTTCGCATAATATGTTTACTAGCAAAAGTTTTAAGATTCCGTTAAAGAGAAACAGGATCAACCATAACCTATTATTCTTTGTTCAAATCTTTCATTTTAGAGCTCAACAAACTTCAGAACGTTGGCAAGCACGATACGAAGAGAAATGTCAAGAGGTTACTAAATTAGAAGCCAGCTTGAACCTAGCCAAGTCTGCTGTTACAAGGCTTGAGAAAGAAAAACGCGTATTGTTATCGCGGCTCGCTGAACTAAAAAGTAAGATTAAATCAAAATTAATAACCATTAATTTCTCACATTATTAACTGCCCATATAAGTATGAATCCAAATTAAAATTAGCTAAACTAAAAGGGCTGTGCCGGGCTTTAATGGAGCAGCTCTTTTCTGCCGTCAACTTTCTCAGCAGCCTTAGAGTAAATTGTTTTGATTGCTTCATCTTGCTGGACTGTGTACGCAATATGCACAAGAGATAATAAAGGCCGTTATAATTAATGTATCCCATTACATACATTGTGTAAATATGGGTACACATAACTATACGAACTTTTAACGCATTTTTATACCTAATACGAGGGGGACACTGAAATGATCGGTAATAGAATATTTTGGATTGAGTTACAATAAAACCTTATTTAGAATTTGAATACTGGCCTCTTAGAAACTTAATGACATTCAAAGAATTAAAAAAAAATGTTTAAAAACAAAATCTATGTTGGTTTAAAGTTGACACGTCGTTAATAGATATGGAGCTCACGCGTGAACATTTCCGTGCCAATATTTATCACAATTTTCGTCGCACCTTATCTCAAGATAAATGTCTCAGCGAACTTGTTTCGATTTATGATGTTGAAGCACCGAGTGAAACGACAACATACCGCTGGTATGCCGAGTTCCGACGCGGTCGTGTGTCGCTCACCACTGTTTCTTCTGCAGGTCGACCAAGAACAGCGGTCACGCCTGAAAACATTGCAACTGTGCGAACTATTATATTAGATGAACGTTATGTGACATACGAGCAGATTCGGGCTGTTATCAGTTTCGGAATCACTGCAATTCAGTCGATATTACATAATGAGCTGTGTGTAAGAAAGCTAGTTTCCCGCTGGGTTCCCCACAATTTCTCCGAAGAGCAAAAGGCAGCTCGTGTAGATTGGAGCCGGAATACTCTGCAACGCTTCAACGGAGGGAAGTCAAATGCCGTTTATAATATCGTCTCAGGTGCGGAATTATGAATTTATTCATACGAACCTGAAAGAAAACATCAATCAGCAGTTTGGGAAAACCCCTTTGAAAACAAAGACGAGGTCAAACCAACGAAAGTGGTTCGCTCCCGCAGCGTGTCAAAGAAAATGGTCGCTACGTTTGTCTCGAAAAAGGGGCATGTTGCTACAATTCCTTTACAGGAACGCAGAATGGTTACCGCTGAGAGGTATATCATGGTTTGTTTGCCAGAAATGATAGCCGAACTCCGAAAAAATAACCCGAAACGTCGCATCATCTTACATCACGATAATGCGAGCTCCTATACGGCTCGGAAGACAAATGATTTTTTGAAACAGGAAAACGTTGAGCTGATGAGAAATCCTCCGTACAGTCCTGACCTAAGCCCAAACGATTTCTTTACATTCCCTAGAATGAAAGATTTATTACGCGGTCAACGGTTTGAAGACCCCGAAGCAGCTGTGGAAGCGTACAAATCAGCCATTTTGTCAACATCAACTTCAGACTGGAATTACTGTTTTAATGATTGGTTTGCACGAATGGAAAAGTGCATTAAGTTGAACGGAGAATACTTCGAAAAACAATAAAATACAATTTAGCTATACCGTCCATGTGGTTTTTCTTATTCCCGATCATTTCAGTGGGCCTCTCGTATTGTAATGAAATATAAACACACACTTTTATCGTGAATACGTAATTATTATATTTCATCTATCCTGTAACGATGAGAGTACAATTTTATTAAGGATTTTTTATTGGAGACAAGTCACCTCATCGTAGTTGTCACCCCTGAGACAACGTATCTGCATTTTGATACTTAATCGGGGATAGACGCAGCCGTCTATTAGTCACAGCTTCCACTTACCATCTGGTGAGATGTTTGCTCGTTTGTCACCCTAAGTGCGGCCACATACATACGGAATTCCGTTTCGTGATTCCGTGAATACATCACATACATACGTTATTTTTCCGTTCGGAATAACAAGGGTCAGTTGAGAGACGTTAGCCATTGAGTCAAGACATTCTGCCAGCGAATAATGACGACGATTTTCTAATTTGATTCCATTTTTGCTGTATCATTCTTACTAGGTGCATCCCCTTATCACCCTAAGCTTGCAATATAGCCAATATTATGTAAAAAGGTCTATCTATCCAGAGATATTTTTTTAAATAGTTATGTCTGTAAATTCTTTCGACGAATTATTAAATAAAATAAGATGAAAAGTTACGAAAAGCTATACACCTACAAGATTAAATGTAAAAAAAATACATAAACACACCTACTCGCTTCGGTCGTGCGACGAACACTGAGCGCTTTTCGTACGGAATTTACGTATGTGTGTTGCGACTCGTACAAAATCTATGGAAAACTTGTGTTCGGAGCGGCTTTTTTCCGTTCGGGATCCCGAACGCACAGGTGGTCATACGGAATCTCGAATCGGAGAAAATTCCGTACGGAAAAATACCGTACGTGTCTGGCGGATCATAGATTTTATATGGACTTGCTACGTTCGGGATTCCGATTTCGAAACGGAATCACGAAACGGAATACCGTATGTATGTGGCCGACCTTACTCTACAAAATGAAGAAATATGAAAAGATAACTTAGATAAATGTTACACCATATGTTGGAACTAGACTACCATCATCAGTATATAAAGATATTATCTGTACAAACATATTTGCATTATAAACTCAGCTGGCGATCCTTAGAGTGAATAAATAAGTAAAAACTATCGTAAAATTTTAATCTTGTGTAAACTCTTATCTATGTTAAAGATGGAGAACAGAGAAACACAATGTAAGCAGATGACGCAATGACTTTATTTGCGGGTTTCGTTGCACATATTCTAAATAGTTTTGAATGCGTTTCGTGTTTGCCATGATATACCTATAATGCTTGGATCGTTTGGCTACGTATGTAGTTATTAATATTGCAGACATAAAGTTTAATTGAACTTTTGGATGCTTGTCTGTGTGCTATTTATGTGTGTAAATCGCATTCACGATGAAGGGTGGTGGTCACTAGTGCTCAACTAGGGTTCACCCTCCCTTACCCAAAATAATAACTTTCACGATTTAAAAAAACTACTAGTCTAGTTATTTAGTTACATGTGGCTTGTTTATTTAGTTCAAAACAAGTGGTAAATATAAAAATTTTGTACATCCGACTTCAATACAATTAAAATGAGAACATCATCAATGTAGTCGAAGTCAATTAAATACGTATTATTAAGGATAACTCAAAAACTAGACTAGTCAGATCTTGATCAAATTCATATGTGACCACGTGAGAAGCACTATCTTTAAAATAAAAAGTTAAAGTTAGGGGCAGCCCCGATGCGTGTTGGCAAACAAAAAATGTTTTTTTTTCATATTTCTCATATATGCAAGTTTCCTCACGATGCCGCTTTTCACCGCCGAGCACGTGGTAAATCAGCACTTAAAATTGCAATTAATAATTTCATTGGTGCCAGTGGGGTTCGAACCCGGGTTGCTCACGTACTGTGAAATTTACAGCTAGTGCTAACCAGCTGAGCTACCACGGCTTCAAATAAAAAGAATCATCAATACCGCTTTACCTAGAAAAAAGTTCTGAGGTAACACACATTAAAAAAATACAGTTGAATTGAGTACCTTCTTCTTTTTTTTGAAGTCGGTTAATAAAGCTTGAGATTCGTAGGGAATATGATTCTTGTTATTGTCTCTTTACCTCTAAATTGTGTATGTTTTATTGTAAAGGTTCCTTTTTATTCTTAAAGTTCACGTGGTTAGTATGCGCAGGAGCCACATAAATTCAGATTAACTGCGAATTCTAATTTCTCTTTCTTCTTCTCTTCAGTGTTTATAAAAAAAAAACATTCTTGAGGGTCGTGTTACACTCGGTTGGAACGAAGTTCCTTTCGTAGTATATTATTATTGATAAACGTTATAATTATTAATGAACAAATACAAATAAATGAATTATGTACTAACGTCTATTAAAATGAAGCGTCATTTAAAATAAAATATAATTTCTTTTATGGCAAGATAAGAAAAAGTGCGAGAGAGATGGATAATATTCCGTCTCTCTTCCTTATAGCCGCCAAGGCCGTTTACACTACGTCAGAAGGGGTCGTGACGGAAAAATCGTATACTTTTTCTCGCCTAGCACTCACCCGCCAAATTCGTACCGTCCGATAAGAAACTTGGTTCCAAAAACTAACACATCCACTTCGCTTGATCTTTAGCATTCACAGTAATTAATCCATTATAAATAGAAGAATACGCTATATTCTAAACTTCCAGATGAAAAGCAGTTAGTGATAGAAAAGCAAGACGGCGAAGCGTCTGAGAAGCGCGAGCTTACCCGCAGTGAATGTGATTACATTGAGATGCAAACCGTGCCCGTGTCCACTCGGGCCTTACTCGAGCGGATAGAAGCTCAACAGAGACGCATTGTAGCACTCGAAGTGGCTGAAAAGGTTTTCACTTATGTTTTATTAACCACTTGTTGTACCCGGCAAGCTCATTTCTCTTTTTTCGTAAGAAACCTATACGCCGTCGCACACTACAAGTCACCAAAATTACATAGTAATCGAATAAATAGCGCATAGAAAACTAATAAGCAAATAAACTTATAATTATTTTTAGTCAAAATCTTGCACGGATGCGCACACAACAACTCATACACCATAACCAGGCGAACGGTATAGAAACGCATAAGGGACAAACAAAATATTATATTTAATAAATATATAACAAAATATTATTATTATATTAAACCATAGAAACATTTTGCTGTGCAGGGTTTGAACTCACTGTCCTGCAATCTAACCGATTGTAATAAGAAATCAATGGTTCGAAATGAAGTTCTTCTCAAACGATCGAAAATCTCGATCGAAATTAAATGTTGAAATAGGTACATTTAAAAGAATAGTACCTATGTATATAATCTTTCAAAATTTACTATCTGCATAATTTGTCACATAGCATGGACCCCTAATGAGCAAAGCTCTCCAGTCCCCACTTCCATTAGTTCTATTCTAATGATGTTCTTTACAACATCGTACTCAATAATTAATCTAATTTATCTTTAACATATTACATTTTTGTATATATTCACAAAAAGAAAAGATAAGTATTATCTTTTCTTTTTGTGAATTATGGACTAATGCATGTGCATCCTATCTGATTGTAATCATGGTAAGAATCTACGACGGGAACGTCAAAGTTTTCAACTCGTGGCACTGCGTTCGCTAATCTGTCTGTCAAACGTGATGGTAATGACAAATCTTCCCAACGACCGCAGAGCTCTGTATCCTACAGTGAATTTTTATGGCCGGATGAAGAATAAGAAGTCCAGATAAATGATCTATAAACTTTACAGTGTTATATAAATGTATTTTTTGTTAAAATGACAATAATCGACTTATATTATTAAGTACTTGAATCTTTCAATTATCTTTAAATCAGGGCAACGAACCACTCGTCTCAGAGTATGAGAAAGCTCTGGCTGAGAATACATCACTTAAGGGTCAAATTCTTAAGCTTGAGTCCACCTTACTGGAAACGCAAATAAAATCGCCTCTCAAGACCACACAGGAGGCCAAACCAGAACTCGAATACTGGAGAAGGTAAATTTACATGAATTAAAATTTTTACATAATTTACAAAATAATTGACTAAAAGGGATAATATAAAGGCACAAAACCATGCACTTGATGGTAAGTGAATACTGTGGCCCATAGACACCTATATTTATCTTCAAATTTGAATCTAAATACAAATGTATAATCGTGGAATATATAACTGATTACTAAGATGGAACGCGTCGTTACCGGTAAAATGAGCCTTAAGTTCTCACAACATAAACACGTAACGCAGCGTCATTTTGCTGCAATTTAGAGAAGGTATTCCTTCCTCGGTTGTGCCAACAAAGTCGAACTGCTGCCATATTACGACTACAGCGTGGCTTAACCATGACTGCGGCAAACCTATTAGTAACCAATAATGATGGTGCTCTTCTGGCCTATTTTATCGAGGATATCAAATACAAAATATTATCCTATTTTATCCAGGATATAAAAGTTTTCAATTAATCCAATAAGTGCGATTGTAAGAGGTACTCATCTTGATTACGTTGTCACTGATGTTTATCCATACGAGCGTTTATGAGATAAATTTAAATGCAGAGATAATGTATCTCTGTTGTCACTTGGAGCTTGAAAACTAATATCGGTTTTAACATAAATGATGTCACCAGCTCCAACCAGAATCAAGGTTACGTGATAATTGTATTTGTAACCTAAATCCATATTTTCCGATAGTTACTGCAATATGCTCAAAGAGGAAAACGCACAACTAACACTGCGCGTAACATCTCTCGAGAGCGCACCGGCAACGCCGCATCAGCATCGTGTCAATGATCTCGAACAGACTGTTCTGACTCTCAGAGGTAAAATATTAATATACCATTACACTAGTTAGTATACGTAACTTTAAGCTATAGATACCTACACATAATTTATGAACACATAACGTCTATTTGAATTATTAAAGGCGAAACAAAAACACTGATTGATCGACATGCATCATATAATGTTCATTATTACCACATAATGTTTACTGACATTTTAAAATAATATTTTATTCTGATATAAAATTTTACAATTAAACAGCACAACATTATAAAATAATTTGATAAAAAACCTCACTGCTTATGCGGAGCAACGGATTTTAATAAAAATTGGCTACGGCAATTCGTGTCGCATGTCCGAATCGCGCACGGAACAAATATTTGTATGGCCTACACATTAACGATAATGTGTAGGCCATACAAATACAAACCTGATCTTGATGTTTGTCCATATGTATGTATGTAAAACACATCCACGATACATGAAGAAATCCAAATGTTTGGATGATGCCACACTGAAACTGGCCAAAACAAAAAAAATATTTTTGTATAAGCAAAGAGTATAAGTGTGGTGCGGCCCTCCACTAACGTAACGACCTGGTAAGACATGCAGGAAGTCGATGGATGTAGGTGGCTCACGACCGTGTTTTGTGGCATTCTTTGGAGGAGGCCTATCTTCAGCAGCAGACTTGTGAAGGGCTGTAATGAAGATAATAATGATGGTATAAGCGAAATGCCCGTGTGTAAAATATCATATAAAATGCAAAAACGTAAAGAAAATATTTAAATATATCTTCAGCTACACTTGAAAGCATAATTTAAGTTTTTTCAACACTGCTTCTGTTTTATATAAGTGTATTAATATTATTTATAATTCAATAAAATTACGATATTGGAATTGTGATAATCTGTAATATTAAAATGTGACATTGAATGAAAGTACCGCTCCATTTCTAAGTTTCCCATTTTTTAAGGTCCAGGTCTTAATTAATTGAATCATGGTTCGAATGAGTGAGTAGATTTTGAGTTTAATAAGGGCTTGAAATGTCTAAATTGTATACAAAAATTTCAACTGAAATAAACTCCATAAAATTTCTAGGGTTAGTCAGCAAATTACAAGCCGAACAAAAGTCATCAGCAACAAACATGCAAAAACGAGTCGATTCCAGACCAAGTAGCGGTCGCAGTGCACCAGAAAAGGTAATTCTAAATATTTTAGGAGAATATCTGGATGGCATGACATAATGAATTGTTTATAATTATTTTATGGATTGATTAGTTAATAATTGGACGCAGTTATAAAAAAAAACTTTCCAACCAATGAGTTCTTCTTCTTCTTCTTTGCTTTTTGGCTTCTCTTAAAAGAATTCTACCAATGTCAAGTCAGTCATGGGAGTGACAATCAAAAATGAGTTAAATATACAGATGTTCTTATTTTGATATCTTCGCGAAGATGTCAAAATAAGTAGATCTGTATATTTAACTCATTTTTATGACTTGTGGGTTGGAACGTTTTTGTATAACAACGTCCAATTATTCTATGGAAATGAAACATTAATAATTTGCCTCCTATCTGTATTGCACTCACAATCACGACGGTCAACTCTGACACCTAACTCGCGTATGCCTTCTGTGGTGAATTTCCTAGGTTGCGCTCGATCTCCGTCTCCTTGTGGCGTGATCCCTTGGACGCTTCCTTATCAGCACGCGTTAAACTAATCAGCGCGCTCATTATGGTCTGTAGAACCCAACTCCTCACGAAAAGTTCCACCTGAGTATTCCGCTTTTCATCATCCTCGCTCGAGTCGATTTCCTCTTCCCGGTTGAGGTATGCTAACTCCAATTGTGACTTAGCTAAAGCAGCAGCTGCTAATGCTCGTCCGAGCTCTGAGCGTTCGAATTTAATCCTACCTACTTTTTCGGCTATCGCTTCACTCCTAGACACGACGGATTTCTGCGCGATGCTGGCCTGCGTAACACTGGTGTCCGTATTGTTGCTTGTCGCTGCCTGGTCCTGGTCCCTTCGACCCCCTCAATCTGTTCTTGTGCCCTCTTCATCTTGCAGAAGGGTAATTGTGGGCCTACGGTCCATAAGGTCCCTATAACCTACAACCCTACAACCCTATCAATCTTGGACGGGGCGCCTACCGCGGTGAACCGTCCAAGGATGGATTTGTGCAGGAATGAAAAAGGCGAAAGGGTTGGGGCACTGCCTGTTAGCGAATGTGACGGAGCAGTTGAGCTGTGCAAATGCAGTCTGCAGCTCAACTGCTCCGTCACAACGCTCAAAAGAACTGCGCCACCTCGTAAGGTGTTAAACCCAAGCTCCGAAGTTTGGCACCGTTATGGGTCGGTGCTTGGTATGCTGTGACTCGCCGCCCAGTCGCCGGTGACGCCTTGTCCAGGCGCCCTTTCCCGGTTGCGATACAGTCAGGTGCTTTCCACAAGCACCCTCGCCTGGCAGCTGCAGTGAGTGCCCTCGTTTGGCAACAGTAAACACCAAGCACTTTTCCCAGCGGGAATAAATGTCATGTCCTATGCTTGCCACAGGAATGCCGAGCACACTTGCCCGACAGGAAAAATGCCAAGCCCCTTACTTGGCCACAGTGAAGCCTTAAACAAGCATTCGCGCCTGGCTGCAGTGAATGCCCCACACAAGCTCTTGCGCCTGGCTAATCCCGATTTCTTTCTTCCGGCAGCTATCCAGTTTCCAAAGGCCTTCTATGATGGCCTAGTTGTCAGCAACTCGCCCGGTCCTGCATCAGAACCGTCAGGCCTCCTAAGCTGGAGTGGTTTTCCTTCGGCTGGATTCTTAATCCGGCTGAGAAGGTCCAACTGAAAGGTTCGCAGCCCACTCACGACGTCAATCCGGCAGCGAAGGACCAATTGAAAGGATCCAACAGAAAGGGTCATTGACGTTCTACTCCACGAAACTGAAATCACACCACGTTGGGTTTGGGAACAACGAGGTGGCCGTGACCCCCGAGAAGGAGTGTCACACAAGGACGTCTGTTGCCCTTTCTGAAAAGAAAGGTTAGACGACTAAGATTACGAGTCCCTTTCTTGACGTCCATTCAGTGAACTGTAATTTGCAATTTTATCTTCTTAATTTCCCCATGGGAGTGAAAATCTTGAACTACTTTTCCTATCACTTCCCTATTGCCTTCTTTCTTTCTTTAAACTGTAATACTGGTAGCTGGTCCTGAACGAATTTCCATCTCGTTGTCTTCTTCTGCATGTGCTTCTTTGCGCAGCAGGTTTCGGGCCTCGGGGACTCCCCCATTACCCGGGTAATCCTCACGGCCCACTTCTATGGGCCGGTTCTGGGAGCTGTTTTAACAATGGGCGTTGTTGTTAAACTTGGCGAATTTCGCGTCCTAGGGAAGAATCTTTTTAGGGGTCGGTGACCTCGAAGCCCTAAGGAGGCGGATCTCAACGTAGGGCCGAGTAAGTCTTACCCATAGGTGCGTGCACCTCTGAGTAGTGACGCACCGGGCCTTAGGAGCTCACTTCCTAGTGTAGCTTAAATGCAGCGATGAGCTTGCGATGCGTAACTGTCACGCGTTGGGATGATCAGCCCGGAAGGAAACAGAGCGACCCCAAAGCCTAACGGAGACGAGTCTCAACGTACGGCCGAGTATGTCGCTCTGACCACGATGCATGCACCCACTGCTAGGTGGCGCACCGTACCCCCCAGGCGATCGACGTTCTATCCTAAGAACTTCCTTAACGAATTTCCAAATTACCAGTTTACTGCCCTAGTCGCGAACAATACGCGAAAAAGAACCGCGCCATTTCGACATATTTTAACATTGATTTTCATCATTGCGCCTTCAAGCTTACCAGAAGTGGTTAAAGGGAATATTAGTAATGCTTAAAGCATTACTAGTATTTTTTTAAATGCACCCTTGTATTTTACCCTATATATTTATTTATTTAAAACATATGGTTACACAATTTTATTTATAAGAAACACATAAAGTCTTATCATTATGTTATACATTACATCGTTATCACTTATCACATAAAAACACATTAATATGTTCAACAAAATATTATCCAAAACATTTTCAAAGTTAGAAATCTTAAATATCTAACTAATAGTTTAATTCACAATTTAGAGGCATTAATACACTTTAATTAGACTTTAATTTTATTATATAAATCTATTATTTTTTCACTATTTTAAGCACAAATTTAGGCACTTTTAACACAGCACTGTTCTTATTAATACACATAGTAATCGTGAAACATTTATTACTTATTTCTATACATATTACTGAAGTTTTCACAAATTGATAAAGTTTATTTTTTATAGAACATTATTTAGACACTGTTTAAATCCCATACAACATAAGCAACCAATCCATACACGACCCCTATCATAGCAGTAGCAGCCTAGTACTTTCTTTGTCTAAGTTACAAATATCTAGGCTCATTATGAAACATTATTTGTTTACATATGTTGTTCTTATCTAGCCATAATGAATCTTATCTCTTATCACAAGAGCAAAATGTATTTTCATCTAAAATAAGAATCTCATTTAATATAAGACTTTTATTCGGATTGCATAGCCGATTACTATGTAACACATGACTCTAAATTGATCTATAAACAAACTTTCATGGAATCAACTCTCGACCGGGGAATCGAACCCCAAACTTTCGTTTGACATTATATTGAATCTATTTACTTTTAACATAGATTATATCCTTATTCGGAATGCCTTATATAATTTAATGGCAATAACTTCAATACACGAAATTATTTATTTTTTATGAAATGAAAAATGACAAACTATTTTTAAGCGCATCGCCAACACCCCTTAAAAGCTACTTATAGAGCAGGCATATGTTTAACAGTGGACTTTTAATAGGCTGTAACGAATGTAATTTTCTTACGTGGCCGTATTTCGAGCAGAGGCGTAGCTACCGCCGTATCAGCCGTATCAATGATACGGGGCCCCCGGGCTACAGAGGCCCCAAACGTATGCAAGCAAAAATTCTAAGGACTTCTATGGGACAGGATGTTGGTTTGAATTGTTTGGCTAGCTTAGTTCCTAGGAGTATTAATTGTAAGTAATAACTTCTAATCAATATATAATTATTTTAATGCAATGCGAGAGCTTTTGTTCCTTTTGTGAAAAATCTTTACCCTTCATTTGGGCCCCCTGACAAATTTTGATACAGGGCACGCTACTCCACTGATTTCGAGTGAAGTATTTTAAAGACTCAAAGATTTCTAAAATATGAAATTGTGCAAGTATAGTACTTAGCCCAATTCAAGTTCATTTAAACTTATCCTCTAGTTGACTGACTGTATATTTTTACGAAAAAAAAATCAATTAAATGCCTAACAGACGTACCCAAATACTCGTACCTACCTCGATGTTCTGGTAGTAAGCCTGTGTGTACCAATATTTTTATGGCAATTTTCAGACACGAAGTCAGTTGGAGTCATGTAAAACGGAAATATCAAATCTAAAGAGGAGTATACAAGAAAAAGACGCTCTTCTTGAAAGATCCAAAGATATGCTGAGAATCGCAGCTGAAAGAGAAGATGAGCTATTAAGAGAAGTAAGATAAATAGATTCCTATTTTGTATGTAATCGTTAATCTAATATCTGTACGTTTATCGTGATGCGTTTGTATATTGAGTACAATTTTAAATATTAAAGGTGGATTTCTTTTTATCATTCTCACGCCTTTATTATATATGCAACATTACATATGTTGATGAACATGACAAATAACGACGTGTTTTTAATTGTAATCAAAACATTTTTTCAGAACGCATTTTTACGGCGACAATTGGATGAGCTTGCCGACGACAAAAGGGGTACCCTATCGGTGTAATTATATTTATCATAAGCATACCTTTCTGATTGAAGCACGATTTCATTACAATTTAATTTTATAAATAAGGATATATTATTATAACTTTCAATAAATAAATAAGATTATGAATATATAAACCTACTTTATTTTACATGCCTTGAGTCTGGGTTATTTTTATGTAACGCCAACGATACCTATGACCCCAACTCCAATACCTACAGAAAACCAACCTCTTATATGTCTAATATTGCATCTGTAAATACAAAAAATGAGAACAAAAGGAAATATTAATTGATGGAAACTATCTCGAAAGTTGGAAACCATGTTGTAGTTTTCATTTCTATTTTGATACATCGGAGACATGTTGTTCAGCTAGCGTTAGGTTTTCGAGCGTGTTCTCTATCGCACATAGCGCTATTAGACTATGGATATACTATGATATATCATCATTTGACAACGACAGATTGCACGATTTGTATTGTTTTTCAACTTTTTAGTAATTCCTAGTAAACCTTAAATTTTTAGTAAACCTTAGTTCCAGAAATAAAAACTTTTTGAGCAATGATGATCATCAACCTAATAATTCCCGTGTAGTGGCGGGTAAGAATACTCACTACCCAATATCTTCCCGTGGGTGTCGTAAGAGGCGACAGAGGGAAAATGAGGCAGAGGATGGGCAGCAGCATCTTTCTGATAACAGCAAACCAACAATAAAAAAACTGCGGTTACCAACCCGCTCGCCAAGCGTGGCAACTATGGCAATATACCCTCCATGAGCAATGACATTATATACGGCCCCCAGATGGACAGTGCTTTGTGGCATTCCTGGGGGGAGGCCTATGTTCAGCAGTGGACTTGTGAAGGGCTGTAATGATGATGATGATGAACCTAATAATGCTAAGGTATAACTTGAAGTAGGTACATGAGCGCTCGCATTTTAATCTATTTCGCACATGTAACTAGGTTTCCTATTTCTTTTATGTTATAGCATACACGTATACAATATCCATCTATAAAAAATAAACGAAAAAGTTATTACGTAATAATACAGCAACATTACTATAATATAACTTTGGAGATGTACCTAATGTTGTTGTATTGTTTGTAAATATATTTTAAAAAAGATAACTTACGGCCTTACATATAATAGTTAATTTTCACTTAACTACCTATTGATTATCTCTATAACTTTCCCTTTCTAGCGTCAGTGAAAACGAAAAAGAATAGCTTCATTGACATCGATTAACGCTTGTCATTTCTACTATTGGTAAAAATGGCAAACTAATTATTATATAATGCAGCAGGTGAAACACCACTAAATTAACTGACAACTTTTTAAGTATGCAAAATACGTATAATTTGTTTAAACCGTGTTTTAGGGCAATTCTTAGGACATATTTTTTGTATTTATAAATGGAATTGTGATGAAAGTTTGTGATTCAATGCTATTAGATAAATATAAAAATGCTAATAAAAGATCTAATTTGTTTCTTATACTATCACTCTAATTAACATAATATACAAATACCGTAATAGGTACCTTTTAAAAATACACTTTCTATCAGATAATGAAATACACATTAACATGCATATCCAATTAGGGATACACTCGGCAGTCAAAGGTTTGTATATATAGTGTCAAAGGCTCAAAGGTTTATATTCATACTACACATATTATAAGCCTAAGTAAATCGTTATTCCAGACGTTCTATAAAGAATTGATTGCTGTAGTGACTCTATTCAATTAAAATACTTAAGCGCTCTCAAAACAAACATTTCTCATTCAGAAATTATGAGAATATAGTTTAATGGCGTCCTCAGATCAATGCAAATAGTTAATTAAGGCTGCGTAAATTTTAATTGATATCAAAACCAAACCATGCTCAACTTCTTCACGTACTCACGCACACATCTTTCTACTTTATTTGTCAGTGTATGTATATGTATGTATGTAAAACCATGTTGTTGGTTGTAAATTATTTTAGATGCATATGTGTACGTGAGTGCATGTACTTACTATAAGTTCAGCATGGTTTTGGCTAGGTTTGACATTACCTGAAATGTGCGAAGCGTTCAGGCTTCTTTCTTTGCTCGTCTGAGATCAGATCATAGTTTTTACAATCAAACTTTTATCTAATGCCTTTTTTTTAAATACTTAAAATAGAATTTAACTTTATTTATTATAGCATTAGAAAAAATTGTCTCGTAGAAGCAGAAGTGCAAAACATTTAAATTCAAAGTTAAAATGAATTTAATGAAAAATGGATAAGTTGGTCAAGCTTATAATAAATCTTCTACTACATCGTCTATTTTGCCATCAGTTGGCAAAACCTTTCCTCTTCATTACATAATTTCTCATACGGTTCGTTGCCGCAATCAGGAGTTTGAGGGAGTAATCGTTATTCTACATCTAATTTGAAGTTCAGTCATATTTTTACACTAATATTATTAGGCGTCATTCCTAACTGTAACGTGTTTATTTGTACTATTGTTACTACATTCAAAAATCTTAAATTTTTAAATATAGTAACTAATTAGAGCTGGTTATAACGCCGCAAGCAGCCTTCAGACAGAGCCAAGATTTGTAGGAAAAATTGAAAAGATTTACTTTTGAGTTTGAATATTATAAATGAATAGCACAGGGTACTAAGTTCGAGCTGCGGCACTACGGCTAGCGTGCCGCAAGATCGATTGCCGCCCAAAATAAATATGGTGTAAAAGTAATTGTTACAGTTCTGGGTGTTCGCCCATTTTCAAAAATGTATGTATGTTGGAAAGTTATGTCCAATTTAGCCCGAAAACATAATAATCATAATAGTAAACAGTTACAAAGACCATTGTCAAAGACATTAAATATTAATGAGCGATTAGGGTTACCATATCTCAGGATTTGTCCTGAGATATCAGGATTTTGGACTCTTCTCAGGGTTGCGGCTGGATTTTGGAAATCTCCTAAAATCTCAGGATTTTTAGAATTTTCAATACAAACTATAAATAATCTTCCTTTGGTAATAATTGCACAGATAAAAATCAAATTTTATTTATCCAAGTAGGTACTTAAACAGTTTTATCATACTTAATATGTGAAGATATCTTTTTAAGTAAGGTTTTTTCTTTAAGTATTGATTTATAATATAATGCCCACATGTTAAACTCTTCAAATTATGTATATTGAATTAAAAGTATAGCTCAAACTGAAGACACCGTGTGTCGGTTTCTTTCATTCGACCATTGAGCCTCCATAATAGAAAAAATTCTTTCTACGTTTGCATTCTGGGCTGTAATTGCAAATACATCTTGACAAATAGGCATTATCTTTGGTAATCGTGAAATACCTATTATTTTCTTGAAAACGGTTAAAGCATATATTTCATTTTAAATTGAGATTAATTGATGATGATTTACTTGTAGTTATGTTTAAAACAGACCAATCTTCGCAACGGGGTGGAACTGAGTGAGTGTGCGACACTGCTATTATAAGAACGATGCCCCTGCCTATAATGTTGCCTTTTTTTTAATTTTTAAGTACGTTGGAGAGAAATTTCTCAAACTGTAAAAAATCTCAGGATTTTTCACGGGAAATCAGGCCTTTTCTCCGGACTTTTGATTTCTTCATCTGGTAACCCTATGAGCGATAGACAGTACAAACGATCGAAATGGTAGTCCATTACTTGTTGTCTATAATCACATCATGTTATAGGCAACAAGTAATGGACCACGAGAGGTCGTATTCGTGTGCAATAACTTTGGCTAAAAAAAATAATTTCAAGAAAATTAAAAAAAAAATTACCGAATGCGCTAGTTTTTTCTATTTATTTTAATAAGTACGTGTTGTTGCTATTTAGATCTAGATAACGTTGCTGTCGTACCAATCAAATATATTTTTAACGATTTTTGTATAACAATCCTTCCAACGGCCGCTCATAAACCTTTAAATCTCAGTGGCTTGTTACTAATTACAGGCAGTTTATATTATTTAAATTTAAAGTATTAGTAACGATATTTTTCATCCATTTCATTATGGCCAACCTTTTGAAAGTCTCATATTGAAGGCTTCTTTAAAATAATTTTAAAAAAAGCACTTTAGACGTAATACGTTAGTTCATACCTCAAATATTTACAGTTAAAATTTTACAATAGCGTAATTAAAATTTACTTGGTCAAACGACATTTTCAATAAATTTAAAAAAACGGGGTAGTCCTATGCATAGATAAGTTTTTTTTTTATGTATATTAACTGATTTCTCAGAAACGGCTGAAACGACTATTCTATTTTAATTGATAGGTTTCAGTGGTGGTCCCTTATACGTTTTAAGAAAAATGTCCCCTAAGTGTAGAAAAAGTGGGGTAAAGTTTTTAATGTGACTATTTAGACGGCATTGTCATTATAATCTTTAACTTGTGATATTCCCTGGTTAAAACAAAAGAGTAAAATAACCAAATTTAAGAACAAGTAAAACTGTCTTTAAAAACCGAAAAGTAGCAAATAATTACCACATAATAGCTTCTGAAGTCGGTGCTAGGACCAATTGTATCAAAGGATTACAAGTAAAGCTCTGGCAGTAGAAGTTAATAATTGGAAATCGTTTTATTACGTTTAGTTTTCAAATTTTTACTTTTTTTAATGTCAATTTTTTTAACATATTTCCAATTCAAAATTAAATACTTCTGACCTGAAAATAAACGGCGAAAGAAACTCTTGTAAGTGTCCTCCTTCTGTCATTTTAATGATCTAATACGGAGGGAAGAGGAACATATCATGTGATTACATAAAACTATACACGATAATTTGGACAATGATATCCAAAAAATACCTAACGATAGTGCATAGCAAATGCAGTCCTATTTGGGCCTTAAGAGGAAATGCGGGTTAACTTTTCTCCATACTAACGATCTCGCCTGTTTTCTTTCCGGTTTACGATTTTATAGCAATGAGTTTTACAGTCGACGACGACGAAAACGACCTGAAGAACACTATTTTGTCTCGGCAAACAGTTGTAAGGAGCAAAACAACTATT